GGGCTTTAAAAACATCCTGGTGAGTAAGGACATGATCCTTGTCTTCGGGGAGTTCACTTACACCCTCTCAGGAGTTGAAACACTCAGGAACTCCAGAAACATATAAAGGACAATTTCGTTATCATAATCTGACTTTATTATCATAATCATAATTTGCTGACTTGTCCATTCACAGCAATGGGAGTAGAAACCTGGCTGTCACCAGACAACTCATTTCTAGCCAGCTAGATTCTTGGTGACCACCAGCCAGTCACTGCCCTAACAGGAACTCTGGGAGGCTGGCATCTCCAGAGCCGGTGAATGCCGGCAACAAGATATCAGGGCTTCTTCCTTGTTGATTGTGCTGACTTGTTCTCCAAAATAGCCCCAGATATTATAGGGCTTTGAGAGCAAGTCCTATCTACCTGATGGAAAATTCCCATTATGTACGTGGTCTTCATGTCTGGCTTGAATCTGTACGGGCTTTCACATGCTCGTTCACTATTCCTTTTTTTTTCTCTCTTTTTTTTCCTTTTTTCTAGTTCCATCTCTTCACTTTCCACACAAGGGGAAGGGGAAGAGAAGTGACTTTGTATGAGTAGGCACTGAACACACAAGCCAGTGATGATGGCTCTTGTTTATTTACCTTTTACTGGTCACCAAGCGATGTGCCATACTTGTACCTTTTGTTATGTTATATATCCTTAAAGTAACCCTCTGAACTAGGTAATGTATTTCCTCATTTAGGTAATTAGCTGATAATGAATGGCAACACTTGGATTTGAAGACAAGTCTGTCCTACTCCAAAAAGTAAAGCTTTTACCAGTGCTGGGTGTATTGGATGGGGAGTGGGTGATGGTGACACAATGGTGTAATAATGACAGTCGCTACTGCAGGCAGACTTACTGTACATGTCTTAGCACCTCATCACAGTGAATGGGATCCCTCCAGTCTGGAGTTGCCTTGTTTGTGCGTTGTTTTGCTCTCGATGGAAGGGCTACATTCTCCTGAGTGCTTGGGTAAATCGGATCACAGGAGAGCCTGCCATTCTGACCCAGGAGGAGGTCAGAACCATCTCCCCAAGATAAATTCAAAGGATGCCAAAATATTATAAGTCAGAGGAAAGCAGAGCTATAATTTTTTTCACTAGCAGTTACCCCAGCTTAAAGAGTTTTGATGGAAACAAGTGCCAAGATTTCTAGAGGTGAAAACAGAACAGAGAGAAAGGCATTACCTCTCTCTGCACACGTATACCTCTACCCACTGCAGTTGTCCTCAACATTTCAAAAGTCATCTCTTCTCGTTTGTCTTCGCTGCATGGCGGTAGTTCGGGACTCATCCTCTTCTAGATTCTGCAATAGTGTCCTGACTGGTACCCCTGCTTTCAGGCTCTCTTCAGCCTTTCTAACTCCTTCTCCATCTTAGATACCATCATGGTCTTAGTGCGAGTCTTCCCCACATGCTGCTCCCTTGTTGCAGCCTTGACAACAGCTCCTAAGGCCAAGAGAATAAGGTCTGAATTCCTTAAATGTCCTAGGAGGCTTCTGAAGATTTGGCTTTTTTCTCTCCAGCCTCACTGACCGCTTGGCCCTGGCCATGCTGAGCTTCCTGCAGCTCCCGAACGTGCTGTACTCTCACTGCTGTGCCCCTGCACACGCTGCTCCCTTTGCCTAGAACAACATTCCTGGCATTCACCACCTGGCTAACTCCTACTTATCCTTCAAAGCTAAGCTCAAATATACCTCCTTTGGGGAAAGCCTTCTAAGGCCCTCTCTCCTCCCCTTCATCCTAGGTTAGATGTCTGTGCTTCCTTAACACCCTTGCTTCCCCGCATCATAATCCTTAAAATGCTGCATTGTAGTGGTCTGTTTACTGGGATCTCTCCCTCAATGCCCTGTGAGCTCTTGGAGGGCAAAGGACACTGTCTTATGTACATCTATTTTTATAATCTCAGGGTTTGACACAGAGCAGATGTTCAATAAGTGTTTACTGATTGCATTTTTCAAAAAAAGCAATTTATAAAATGCAAACGAGGAGAGATGGAATTGAAAGTATATGCTCAGGGTAGTGTAACTTAGAACTCTTTTTGGTGCTTCAGGTGTAGATTTCATGTTTGCAGAGACCATGTATTATTGTCCAATGTGCTCTTTCTTACAATAGAGAAGATCTGCAGAGTGGGACTCTGGCTGGCAGTGAGTTTGTTCCACAGACCTAAGACAGCTCGCTAATTAATATAGACCCTTCCCAGCCTGGGCCTCCGGGTTTTCTTTCTGGGTGGAGACCATCTTCTGCAGGAAATGGAACTGTTCCAAGCCAAAAAGTTTTCGCTCTTATTAGTTCTTTTGGTGTTCTGCTGTTCAAGCATTAGGAAGACTGAGCCCTGTTTCAGTCTTGACAGGATCGTGTTTTATGACCCCCAAAAAGTGTTTGTGTAACCTCAAGCCATGCTGAAAGTGAAATGCAGCTTGAGGGGGGCGGGGGATTCTGCCAGGCCTAACTCGGCTTTTCATCTTGCCGCTTGGCTGTGTGCACGTGGCGTGTGAGAATGTGGTTCCCCAGAAGTCTGTAGGTGTTGTATATGCCAATAGGATCTAAGGGCCAGAGTGCTTGCTTCCAGTAGAGAGGAGTTTAGAAATTCAACAACAAACATTTACTGAGCCCCTGGTGTGTGCAAGGCTCAATGCTGAGTGCTGTGGGTGATACAGGGTGACTTAGGTCCGGGGATCCTTCCTCAGGAAGGCTCCCATCTAGGAAGAAACACTGATAAGCCGTTTTGGAGACATGGGAAGGCATGGCTATCTCTAGATCCAGTCATTACTTCAGTGTCCGGAACATTACAGAAAGGAACACCTTTTCTTGAACTAAGTACCAGACACAGGTTTAGGTCTTCTCAAGTTTATTACTGCCTTTAATTTTCATATTCTTCCTATCTTTCAGTTAGGAAATGGAAACCCTAGTATATAGTGGGTACACGCTCAGAAAATTAAAATTGGGAAATAAGCTAGGAGAATAAGGGTCTTGAAAAGGGTCTGTTTGTTTGAGGGTAGGGAAACTGTCCCCTGCTATAGTTGCCCTCAGCAGATGGGATGGAAGCTAGAAGAAAGAGCTCTCAGAAATGAGAGCTGTAAGAGCCTTTATTTGGTGGAGCTAGCTACTGGACTGGAAGAAGTGGAATTGAAAGCCAGCAATGGAGGGATTAATCAAAAACTTCCTATGGACACAGTGAAGGAGGGAGGGGAAGGTAAAATCCAGGTAGAGAAGAGAATATTGGCTCTGTACCTGTCAGAGAAGAGTTGAAAAGTTTATAAGTAGTATTTACTTATACCGGGGGCATGTGAAAACCCCTTCTCTGAGCTCTCGTAAAGGTTCCTGAGCAGGGAAGCCTAGAACCTCCTGACAGGGCTGAGTAGAGGTTTTTTCCTTCCTGGTTCTCATGTTCGGGTCTGGCTAGGAGATGAATCTTTCTGAGCCGCAGTTCTCACTGCTCATACCTCCTTAGAAAAGACAAGGACACAAAGGTTATTTTTTTTCCTTTGCAAAGTACGACATTCAATAGCTCTCAGATTGTAAATGTATTAAAAGCTTACGTTTCTTGGCTAATATTTCACTTTCTTATAGCAGCATAGAAATAGCCTGGCCGTCTTTTCTTATCTTTTTTTTTTTTTTTTTAACGAAAAAAAAAATTAAATGCTTGAGTAGGTAATATATATAACGAGTAAACATTTCAAGGGGTATCAAGGGTTTTTCTGGTGGCCACTGAGTCTCCGTTTCACTTTTGTCTACTAGACACCCAATTCTCCTAGAGTAATCGGCACCACCAGTTTCTTGCTGATTTTTGTGGCACTTTGTTGATAATTCTATTACTAGAGAAGGGACATTGTGGTAGTTGGTTCAACAAATGATCCAAGTCCTTAGTGTGGCCAGGCTGCGGCTGCTACAGCTTTGGTATTGGTGAAGTCTCATTAAGAACTTCATTTTCTTGCCTAGAATGTATCCAGAATGAAGTCACAGTGCCATCATTAACAGAGAGCTTATTACCCTCTGCAGGACAAAGACTTTTTCGTCTAGAAAGCTGCTAGATATAGTAACTTTGAAAGTGTCTTATTCCCCAGCCATGTGTTACTTACTTAATTACAAGACTGATAGGTGCCGCTTATGGTTACTTAATACAAACTCCTGTTGCTAACTGGCTCAAATGGATGTCTGTGTATTTACTTTGTCATGTAATACAAAGCATAAATTTTTCTTACTCCAGTAACTCATCAAGTTCTTGAATCTTTCATCAGAAGCTAATTGAGACAGGAATTATGCCTGGGCCATCCTTATACCCTTCCTTGCAAGTGGGTGTTCAGTAAATGTTTTTCTGTGATTCACGAGAGACTTGGTGAGGTTGCATGCTCGGAGGGAGGAAGGACTTGAGAGGAGTGATAGGAGAGTTTTCACTGACCTTTCCTCCGGGTTAGTTGATGACTCCCTCAGTACAAGACTTTGGTTTCTTAACCCCCATCAAATTGTTGATATCACTGGACTTCCAGGAAAAGTGGTAACAACTGCTTCCTTACTCCAGCTCCTGCTGATAAGAATTCATAGTGGCTGATCTCTTTTGGTTACACTCTAGAGTCCTTTATGAGGAAAGGGAAAATATTGTGGATTAATGACTGACTAATTATGACTTGCTTCCTTTGTTTAGGAACATATCTTTCACTGTTGTTCATTTGCCTTGAGAAATATAGAAGTGGGGGTTGCAGATATGGTGCACTGGGCTGGGAGTCCATAGAACTGAGTTCTATTTCTACCACACCTGTGCAACCTGGAGCATGTCACGGACCCTCTCTGGGCCTCCGTTTCCCTGTATGTACAATAAGAGCTGGACTATAAGACCTCTGTGGTGCTTCCCTAGTCTAAGATCTATGGTTCGAGGCCCCCTTTTCCTGAAATCCATGCTCTTATCACCTTCCTTCTGCTTGTCCCCAAACCCCAGATTTCAATTACTGATCCGGATCTCTGATTTGTGCTTCTAGGTTTTCTTCGTGTCCGACCTCTTCAAGACCAAGGTGACACTCGCCCTGCCTCCCCCTGCGATCAGGAAGGAAATCCTTTCACCTGTGGACATTATTGACAGGAACAATCACCACAACATGGTGTAGGTGCCAGCCGCCTCCTGAGCTGTTTCTGTAAAATGACTGCTGACAG